TGTACATACATATACATACATGTACATACATACATATACATACATACATATACATACATGTACATACATACATATACATACATGTACATATGTAGTGGACTAGGCCCATGTCAAAAACTAAGTCTAAGGTCAAAACTCTTGACCTTTAGAACCTTGTGGGACAGGAACTGTCATTTCATTCATTTGAACTCAGAAATACAGGTTCACCCATCCTGAGACTTTCTTTCTTGAAGATTCAAGTGAAAAGAACACTCTCTTTTTATTATCATTACTATTTTACAAATGTTGATAATCAAAGTGTCTTAGTTCAAACCATTTTAGATGTGGCAGTGAACTAATCAATTTTATTAACTGTGTAATGATTTTTATTCTCATGTCAAAGCTGTTACAGAGTAATTATGCCTTTTCTGATTTCTGCTTTTGAATGAGCAAGTGTAAGTTGGTCCAAGGTTGGAATAAAACGCAAAACAAGTTGTTATGTTAAAACTGTCATGTTTTTAAAATCCTCTCAGACGTAAATAGAGAAGTTTTGGCACCTGTTGCTGAAACAGCGCCAAAACAAAACTCTCTCTGTCTGTGAGAACATTTCTGATCTGTTTCATAACAATTCTCGCTGTCTCTAACCTCTTACGTCACAAAACACACCCCGTCTGGTCGTTTCTGACCAATGAACAAATCCCAAAAGTGAACCGGGAAACAGCTCTTTAAAATGTCAGTACTTCCTGGTCTACTCGGTCTTGGTTCTGTTGAAGTTCTGATGGAGTGCTGTTGGAGTTCTGCTGGATACACAGTCCAACCAGTTCTGTGAGAGACGGGATGATCCTGACAACAGAGCTCTTCCGAGTTCCATGGGATTATAACATTTTCCACTGAGGTGAATATGTGTCGAACAGAGCCTCGCCATTACTTCGGACGAGTAACAGCATCCTACTGAGACGCTGAAAGGGTGCGTTAAACGGAATCTCACCTGAGACATCTCCAGGTAAAGGAGCCGATTTCATCACCTAAGTGTACTGTAAGGAAAAGCTGAAGAAAGCCGGAGAGTGTCGATTCTGGTGAACACATTTCACCCCTCACACACCATCTTACTCCCTCTAAACTTCTTTCCATCTCTAAACTTTTCTCTCAAGTAGAAATTCTTCCAGATATTTTAGAAATGTCTGTGTAAAATGCTCACCCACATTCATGTGGGTAAAAGATCATAATTGTACAGTTTTCATAAATGTCTGTGGTGAAGCAACGGAAAAATCATGGCCGTATGATTTTTCCTGATTGATTGCTTATGTTGTTATTTTCATAATTTGCCAAATTAATGTAAATGTTTGATGTTAAATTTTGATTCTGTAAATAAATGACCGCATTCATTTTGATGGGTCAAATATAAATGACGTCTCACGTTTGCATTTCCTTAAATTCAATGCACGTTTTATTCAGTCCAGAAAAATGAGGAATCCGTGTTAAATGATGAATATATCTGAGCATCTGTTCATCTACATAATTGGTGGCCCGTTAACGTGCTCATAAATGACTGTAAAAACGTGTAAGATTGATTTTTAAATGTTGGCATGTTGAAAAATAACAGTTTATTAGCTGTGCTGAAATACTGCATGTTTACGCAGCGAGCTGGAGCTGCGCGCTTACACCTTTGCTGTGTTACGCTGGCAATGTTTTAAAAGCTGGAATTGTGTCATCGAGTCTTGTGAAAGCTGACATTGTACGCCTGTTACGTGTAACTAAGCTGATGAGCTGTGGGAAACGTTGATTCTGTTTAAAAGTACGGAGGTTCTACCATAAGACCCGGCTGTGGTCCGGTTCGGTTCTGTTGAGTTTGAACGAGTATTTTGAATAGATGGATAAACGTTTTAAAAGCTGAGCACACTCAGAACACAGTTAAGAGTTATTCGTTACAATTTTTAACAGAAAAAGTGCATTTTGACAGTTTAAAAGACGAAAAGCTGACAAACTATTTTCAGGCTGAATCTAGCATGCTGGGTGCTTTAACGCTGCGTCATTGGTTGAAAAAGACCGTGTGTAACGTTCTCATTGGATGAGGGACGTGTCAATCACGCCACCCGGAAGTGAAAATTCGTTTTCATAGGGAAATAAAATCAGCTTTTTAAAGCTGAAAAGCGCTGCAAAGCTGTGTTCTGACACGGTGTTTAAGTCTTCGAGGTCTAATCGCTAAAACTACGCCACGTTTGTGTAAAAAATTTGTTCAGAAACGTTGATTTTAACCGGGTTTAGCCGAAGCTAACTTTAAGCTAAGCGGCTAACAACAGGATGTCAACCGAACGCCACAGGAAGTTGTAGCTCCCCTAGTGGACAACACGAACAGTGTCGGAGTTAAAATTGTTGAGGTTGTACTGACATCTTGTGGAGAAGACGTGGGATCACAGGTTTCACTTCGTTTTTAGGGTTAAATAGTGAAATTAAACGTTTTTATTCTTTTAAAGGCATTTTTGAGTTATTAACCGTTCCTCAAAGTTGAATAGACTCTGTTATCTTGCATTTTAAAAGTTATGAAGGTATTTATGCAGAGAGCATTTACCCAACAAAATTTTTCGTCACTGATAAATCCTTGAGAAACAGGTACAGAATAAAAATTTAGAAACTTTTAAATAAGATACAGTTACAGATATTCATACATATATACATATATACATATATATACATACATATATACATATATATACGAACATATATACATATATACATACATATATATACATACATATACATACATACATATATATACGAACATATATACATATATATACGAACATATATACATATATACATACATATATACATATATACATACATATATACATATATATACATACATATATACATACATATACACATACATATACACATACATATATACATACATATACATACATATACATACATATATACATACATATACATACATATATACATACATACATACATATATACATACATATACATACATATATACATACATATATACATATATACATACATATATGTAGATGAACATATATCTGTGATATATTATCCATAAATTAAACGGATTCATTAATTTTTCTGGACTGAATAATATCGTGCATTGAAATTAAAATGTAACGTGAGGCGTTAATTTTCTTTGACCCATCAAATGAATGTGGTCATTTATTAACAGAATCAAAGTTTAACATCAAACATTTACATTAATTTGGCAAATTGATTTCATTAACACATAATTAATTAGCAAGCTTTACAGTCAGGAAAACCATACGGCCATGGTTTTCCTTTGCTTCACAACAGACATTTCTGAAAATATCTGGAATGATTTCTGGCAAGATATAAGAGTTTAAAGATGGAAATGAAGTTTAAATGGAGAGGAAAAGATGGATGAGGGAAATGTGTCAGTATCAGAACGGCATGCTCCGTTGAGATCCCAGCTTCCTCCTCGGTACACTTAGGTGGTATAAATCGACTCTTTACCTGTAGCAGGTGTCTCCACTGGTACGGAGTTCCAATTAACGCACCCTTTCAGCGTCTCCGTAGGAACAGCTGTGAATCGTCCGAAGTAGTGACGGTACTTGTTCGACACAAGTTCACCTCCCGGTTGGACTCACATGAGTTGTAAGTCCGTCAGAGTTCCACTCTGATGTGGAAGATTGCATAATTCCCACGAGACTCGGAAGAACTCCGGATCATGTCTGGAACTCCTGTTCTCTCCAGCACTTCTTCCGTTCGGTACTGCTCTCCGAACTGAACTCGACTGCAACTCGACTGCAAACGACTGGTTTGAACTAGGAAGTGCCGACATTTAAAGAGTTCTATTTCCGGATCATTTGGGAAGTTCCTGATTGGTCGATTGACCAGACAGGGGTGTGTTTTTGTGACGTAAGAGGTCACTAAAAGTCAGAAAAACAGAAAAATTGTTTTGGAACGGACAGAAGATGTTTTGAGACAGACGAGAGAAATGTTTAGGCGAGTTGGGGGAAAACAGGTGCCAGCCTCTCTATTTACGTCTGAGAGGATATAAAAACATGACAGTTCGTTCCAACAACTTGTCTTCGACCTTTGACCGACATCACAACTTGCTCATTTCAGACAGAAGATCAGAAAATGCATGAATTACTCCGTAACACTTTCCAACCTGATCTCTACCCCGAATGAGGATTAAAAATCACTAATACTGTTTCACACTTGATTAAAAATGAGTAGTTCACTTCAACATTTAAAAATGGTTTGAACTAAACACACTTTGATTATCAAGAAATTTGTAAAATAGTAATGATAATAAAAGAGAGTGTTCTTTCAATTGATCAGTGCAGGACAAGAGAAAGTCTCTGGATGAACTTAATCTTGTGTTTCTGGACTCAAATCAATGAAATACAGTTCTTGTCCCAGGAAGGCCCTCAGGGCCAGGACTTGACCTGAGGCTTAGTTCACTACATTTACATACACATATACACATATATACATATATACATACACATATATACATATATATACACATATATACATATATATACACATATATACATATATATACATATATATACATACATATATATATACACATACATATATATATACATATACACATACATATATATATACATATACACATACATATACACATACATATACACATACATATACACATACATATACACATACATATACACACACATATATATATACATATACACACACATATATATATACATATACACACATATACATATACACATACACATACATATACATATACACATACACA